CTCTGGCCCCTGGTTCTGCAAGGAGGGGGCTTGCAGCTCGCAGGCCAGCTCAGCCTCCTCCCTCCGGCTGCGTCTGGGGGCTGGAGCCCTGAGCAGCACGCCGGGGCGAGGTCTGGCAGCTCCGCTGCACGATCGTTAATTAGAAACATCCTACCTGGCTGAAAAAGCGCGGGCTCTGCCGAGCCCTGAGGGTGCCCATTGCTGCAGGGGGGGTCGCCAGGGCTGCAGCCGGTCCCTGCGCCCAGGGGAGCGGTGCCACCCTCTGCCCTCCTCCCTCTTGCTCGGGGGAGAGAGGACCTGGTGCCCAGGGCAGAGGGTTGGTCTGTCCTTCCCCGTGCATCGAGTGCTGCTAATAGGCCTCTTGGCTTCTATTCCTGCCTCTGCCTTAACGCTAATCACTGGACCGCTCTGCTTCACCTCACTTTTCCCACCTGTGAAATGGGTACTTCCCCTGCTGGCTTTATTAAATTAGCCATGCTGCTCAGAAAATGATTCCCCCAGCACCCAGGAAAATCTCTGGGGAAGAAAAAAGATTGTTTTTGTTTTAGTCGCAAGGAAAATTCTTGCCAGTTTTTTCACATTTACTTGGAAAAACCCAGCTCCCACATTTTTACTTTAAACCTAGAAAAAAAGACGTGCATTGTTTTGGTTGCTTAAAAACATTTGGTTTCCATATTCTTGGCTCCCCAGCAAAAACATGTTTGCAAAACTTCCCTTTGTGTCAAAGGCTGTTTTTCACTTGAAAAAGAAACCCCCGTTGTGATGGGAAGACCGTAAGCGGCTCTAGTCATTAGTGTTTGCAACGGAGCCGGGAAATTCTTGGAGCGGAGACGGGCTGGGCTGCGGCAGAGCTCACCGAAGGCGGTGGACGATTTCCCATCGACCTCCACGGGCCAGTTCACCGCACACCGACGCTGCAGCCGCGTCTGCAAGGCTGTGTCAGCGCGTTGTTATTTCAGATATTTCCGAAAATCCCGCTCCACTTCCAGCGCCGGCAATTCCCAAACCCCGCAGCCTCGATCGCCCCGGGCTGCTTCCCGGTAACCTGCTAAAACGGGCTCTAAAACTTGCTAACATCATCCCCGTTGAGGCGAGCTGCCGTGGGGATGGTTTGAGGGAGGAAGGCAGCAGGGACCTCCACCCCGCAGGACCTGCGGCTCCACCGCTCCCTCCATCCAGGCCTTTCTAAGCTAGGAAGGTGCAAGAACAGCCTGGGCGAGGGGTCCCAGGTGGGTCTGCAAGGAGACCACCCATTGAGGGGCATTGCTGTTGCTGCCCCAGGGGCAAGTGGGTGGGGAGCCAGGCCACATGCAGATGTCCAGGGCAAGGGAGAAGAGCCTGTGGTAGCCTGGCTGGGAGCTCTGGTGCTTTCCACCTTGCCCAGCATTTAGAGAAGAGAAAGCCCAGCCTTGCTGCAGCCTGGCAGGGGCCCGGAGGGTGGATCCCAGCTCTGGGAGAGCCGGGCCCTGCTCTCCGTGCCCGCCTGGGCTCTTGCACAGCTGGCACGGAGCCCTTCTCTGCATCCTTGGCCTGCGGTGGTCCCACTGCACCGCTCTCCACTTGGCCCAGCCGGGCCCCGAAGGCTGCGGGACAAAGGGAGATCCAGGCGCGGCTTTGCCTTTTGCAATTTGTTTTTAATACTTGCATGTGCTTTCCCTGCACCCGGGGCCCAAGATGCCCAGGGCAGCCAGGGAGCTGCTGCGGTTTTCAGCTTCCAGATACGGGGCTCTGGGAACAAAGGCTGGCAGGGCAAGGGGAGCATCGGACCCCACTGGCATCACAGCACAGGCAGGGAGAAGAGACCCGCGGGGGGAGAATCGGTGCCGTCAGCCCGGGGCCAGGTAGAAGGGCCTGGGTGCAAGGCCAGGCGCAATGCAGGGGGGAGCCCGTCTTCGTCCTCAGAGCCCGTATCGCACGTCTGCTCCCAGCAGCAGGAAGTCCTAGGCGAGAGACCACGACGCTGTCAGCCGTGGGGGCTTCCAAGCACGACCCCCCCGGCCTCCCGCGGGGAAGGGGGCAGCTTCCCCCGGGCCCAGGCACTCGGTGCGCTGCAGCCAGCAGCCGCGCAGCACGTGCACGGCTCAGCGCCGGGAACGCGAGCTGGCTGCGCTTCAGAGGGGCCGGGGCTGGGGCCGGCGCCAGCTATTGTTTCCCAGCCTCGCCTGTGCTCCGCGAGGCGAGCCGTGCCGTGCCAGCTGTGCTGAACATCCCTCTCCCTCTGCGGGAGGAGCGGTCCTGCAGCTCATCTCCCCTTGGGACGGGCTGGGCCGTGCTCCAGGCCAGCCCCCGGGGCTCGCACGTGCTAACAAACAGGTTGCATGTCTTTAGCATCCCCGAGGCGGACCCCAAAAGCTTCACAACCACTGGGTCCGCTCCAGTGGACTCTCTCCCTCCACTGGTGACGGGAAGGATCCCGAGCCCCCCGCCCCACGGCCGGTGTCACTGACCTGGTGTGGCTGCAGGACGCAGCTGGAGAGCTGGACGTGTGCGGGCAGCGGGAGGGGGAAGCCCTTCTCCAGCTGGCCTGGAAAACACAGCAGGTGACAGCCCGGGATGGGGGGCAGACAGGCCGGATGGCCCAGGCTCCAGACCCTCGGGGGTGGGGGCAGGGGAGCTCCCCCAGCCGCTGCACGGGGCTGGGGGGCTTCGTGCAGGCTGCCTGGCCCTGCTCCCCCGCGTGCGAGCCGTCCCCCGGCGGGCTCTGCTGCGCCGCGTGCGGGGAGCGGGGGTCTGGAAGCCATTAAGCCACGTGCCCGGCTCATTCTTTCCATTGCATTCGCTTCAACCCCGGAGTCGCGGCCCGGAGACAGTCTCTGCGGAGCCACCCGCCTCCTGCAGCGCCATGCGCGCCGGCTGTGCTTCTGCACTGCTTTCCCACCGCCCGGGGCTCCTTGGCTTGCGGTAGCTTTTAGCCACGCTCCAGAGCTGACTATGGGCGGGGGCCTTGGCTGACCCCAGCTCCCAGGCCTGCCTGGCACCCCCTGCCCCTGCCAGATGCTCACCATTCACCGAGGGCAGCAGGATGTTGGAGGCAAGGAAGTTCATGAACTGCTGCAGCCCTAGCACCTGGGGACCATGAAGGGGAGGAAAAGCCCATCAGCCGGAGGAAGCAGAGGAAAGGGGGGAGCAGGGGGTTGCAGGGTGGGCCACGCACAAGGGGCCGGGCGCTGGGGGACGAGACTGAACCGAGTACACGCAGAGGCCATCCTGCAAGCAGCAAAGCTGAGCCCTGGGGCAGGTCAAGCAGCCTGGGGTGCAGGAGAACATCCCCTCCATGATGCTTGGGCCGGGACCGGGGTGGTTTCGGAGCTCGGGGATGGGGCAGGGAGGCCGGAGCCGGGTGCTGACGGGCAGAGCAGGTGCAGGTAGCGGGTCCGAGGGGGCCTGGCTGGAGTCGCAAGCTGCCCTCCGGCAGCCGCCCCCCCTGGCAGGGTGGCAGCCGTGCCGCTACCTGCCCTCCCCTGGCTGCAGGATGCGCCGGGATGAACCCAGCCCACCAGGTCTTCCAGGCAGGGCCGGCGCAATCGAGCGCCCGTGAGGGCAACTCACAGAGAAGGGGCCGATGTCCGAGTGCTTCAGCGACAGCTCCAGCCTGCGCGGGGACAGACACGTGTCAGCACCCCCCTCCACGTGCTGGCTAACGGTCATCACAGTTTCTGGCCCCAGAGCTAATTCTGCAGCTGGTTTTATCCGGGTCATCTCCGAGCCCTGTGGCCACGGAGCGAACGAGCATCCCCACCCAGCCGGGGGACATCTTTGCGGGCTTCCTCTGGCCTAGGAGATGCCTGGAGCTGGAGGGTCAGGGTTCGACTCCCCCTCTCTGCCGCTCACCCGCCAGATGCCAAGGCCCCGCATATCCGGGCAGAGCTCACGCTGACGCTGGCAGAAACGTTGCTCGTCTGGGGACAGAAGGAGAAGCCACGTCAGCTCGTCGGCTTGCGCTGTCAGGACGTCCACCGCGTCTTGCAGCCGCGCCGCGGCCAGGGAGACGTCGGGATACGGGGAGGGCCCCGAGTTGAGCTGGGCTCCGTCCCCCACCCCGGAGCCGTGCCCCGACTGACCAGGCGGAGGAGGCA